TCATTATTTCACTTGGTCTCATAACAATCCAGGGAAGTAGGTGTTATTATTAGCCCCATTTTATAGATGAGGAAACTGAGGCAAACAGCGATTAAATGAGTTGATCATGCTAGTAAATGTCTGAGGCTGAATTTGAACTCTGCTCTTCCTGACTTGAGACCTGATGCTCTAATATGTCATCTGATGAATTATTAAAAATTATAATTTATCAACATTTCTATAAATATTTTCATAGCATCACATAAATTATAATATATTAATAATAGAAATATCGTGATTATACTTTAGTCAATTACTAAAATTTATTATGTTAAATTGAATTATAATTCATGGATATCATAATGTAAAAATATATTAACAATATATAATTGTATAAGGATGATTATACATAATTATAATAAATGTAACAACATAATAACCACAATTAACAAATTAATCATCAACATTTTTAATTCCTATTATTAATAGAAATAATAGCCATCAATAAGTTACTGGTTATTAAGTTATTTGGAGCAATATTTGTTTTTTGGTTTTTTTCTTCTTGACTTGTGAACCAGACCTGTGATTTTATCAGGGTAGGGAGCTCCCTGTGAAGAATTTTTTCTAAGCAGTACCAATCAACTATTCTCTGCTATTTATGATTTTAGATACTAACAAACATATTAATGTGAGCACTGGGAAAAATAAAAAGGGGGGAATAAACAGGCCCTGTCCTCAGGGAGCTTGTTTCATTAAGTGGCTTTAGGAGGTTGCTTACTAGACATCCAGAGATTATCCTAATGGTTTGTGCTGGCACCTCCTTCTTTTGAAATCATTCCAGGTGGATTCCACGTACCATAGAGAGGCAGCCCCAGAAGGTAATGAGAGTTCTCCTTCCTTTGAGACAGCCCCCACCTGGCTGGCCACAGGCCTGACTCTTGTCCCCCTTTTATAGTAAGAAGACATGAGATCATCAATCCTTTGATCCAGCAATAGCACTACTAGGTCTGTATCCCAAAGAGATTTTTTTTTAAAGCAGAGGGCGGGGAGAGGGAGAAAAAAGGACCTAATTGTACTAAAATATTTATGGCAGGACCACAGAATTCAGATTAAGTCCATCTCTCTTATTTTACAAATGGTAAAACTGAGGCCCAGGGAAGTTAAGTAACTTATAGAAGTAGAACAGGTGTTTAATCAATTACATTAATCCACTAGCTTTTAACTGCCTCCTATGTGCCAGGCACTGTGCTGATTACAAGTATTGATGAATTACTGTAGGTTGATTACCCACAGTTACATAGTTAGAAACCATCAGAAGCAGGATTTGAACCCAGATCCTCTGACTTGAGGGCAGCTAAGTGGTGCAGTGGATAAAGTGCCAGGCCTGAAGTCAGAAAGACTCATTTCCTGAGTTCAACTATGGCCTCAGATAGTTACTAGCTGTGTGACCCTGGGCAAGTCACTTGATCCTGTTTACCTCAGTTTCCACATCTGTAAGGGAAGCTGGAGAAGGAAATGGCAAATTGCTCCGATATCTTTGCCAAGAAAACCCCAAATGGTGTCATGAAGAGACAGAAATGATTGAAAAACAACTGAACAACAACCTCTCACTCCAGACAGTGAGTGCCCTTTCCCCAGGAGCACAATGCTTCCTATGTTTATGTGAATGGACAATTCTATAACCAAACTTTGTACAGAATTAAAACATAAAAATATAAATAAATAAACCTAGATGCAGTCCAGAAAAACTGTCCAGTGATTCCCACACCAAAAACCTGGGCAGATACAAGCTCCTGCGGGTTCCCACAGGTGTCACACTTCCCAACGAGTTAGGATGGTCCTTGAAGTAGGTAGCCACCTCTCCACTCTCCCAGTCTATTTTGTGCGGCTATCTAACTTGTGTGCGTAGAGGAGAAACAAGTGTGACAAAGTAATGAACCTTTACAAGGTCTTCTTTCAGGCTGTTAACTGCAGCATAGCTGTGTTGCATGGGAAAGAGCAGAGTGACAAAGATACTGAGCTATTCTGAGATTTGAAAAATGCATGTCTGAGGAATAGCACACACAACGTTCCTTCTCCCCTTCCCCCTGTTCCCCCCCCTTTCTCCTCCTCCTCCTCCCCCTCCCCCTCCTCCTTCTTCTTCTTCTCTCTCTCTCACCTTCTTTCTTACTGCTGGAGTCTTGTTTGGGAAAGGACAGTTTTATGTCTACATTTAGAACTGAAAGGCACTTCAGAGGCCATCTAATCTAATCCCCTTGTTTTATTGATGAGGAACTGAGGCTCAGAGGGATTAAGTGACTTCCCCAGGGTCACACAGCTAAAAAGCATCTCCTATTAAAAACAATTATCCATTTTAAACTTTTAAAAGTTCCATTTATAAAAAATAATAATTAAAAAAGAAATATCAGGAAGGTCTATTTTAATAGCAAATCCATCCTTCTCAAGAACTTTTTTATGGGAGCGGAGCCAATATGGTGGACTGAAAGCAGTGACTTACTTGAGCTCTCCTCCAAACCCCTCCAAATACTCATAAAAAATGGCTCTAAACAAATTCTGAAGCAGCAGAACCCACGAAAAGACAGAGTGAAACAAATTTCCAGCCCAAGACAACCTGGATGATTGATCAGAAAGGTGTATCGCGCCAGGCTGGGAGCGCAGTGCAGTGCGGTGTGGGCATGCAGGCCACAGCGAACCTGTAGCAGGCCTCAGAGGACTGAATCTCGGGCAGCTGTGGAGGTTTCCAGACTCCTCAATCCAAGAATGCCAAAGACAGCTTAGAAAGTCAGTGGGAAAAGTCTGTTTCTGTCGGTGCTGAGAAAGGAAGGCGGGGTCTCAGCTCCATTCCCCAAGAGCGTGGCCCTGGTGGGGGGCAGCTGCTTCCCAAGCTTCCAGCCCACAGACTGAAGGGGAATCCAGTGGCTGATCAGAGAGGGACTGCAGGGATCTCTTTGCCAGTGCTGAGGCAGGAATCTCTTGCTTTGCCCGTTTGGATCTGGGTCACAGTTCTGGGCGGCAGTGCTGGGGTGAGGAGGAACGTTGGCTTGGTGGAGCTTCTAGTGGCTGTGGAGAGAAACCCCTCCTCACAGTTACAGGACAGAAAGGAATACTTGTAGTCACAGGCCAGGAAAGGAGTAAACACCTCGCCCCTTATCATACCACCTTGGAAGAACTGAAAATTTACAGGTCCCTACAAGTATCTCTGAAAACAGCTATAGAAACCCCTGAAGCTTGGGACAATACATTCTCCACATTGGAAGCAGACTCTTACCTTAACAAAGAGTTTAAAACTCAAGTAATTGGCCAGGATCATGAGCAAGCAGCGCAAAAAGAGTCAGACTATATTATCTTACTTTGGTGAAAAGGAAGATCAAAATATACAACCAGAAGAAGACAACAAAGTTAAAGTTCCTACATCCAAAGCCTCCAAGAAAAATATGAATCAGTCCCAGGCCTTGGAAGAGCTCAAAAGGGATTTGAGAAGCAAGTAAGGGAAGTAGAGGAAAAACTGAGAGTGATGCAATAAAACCATGAAAAACAAGTCAACAAGCTTGCTAAAGGAGACCCAAAAAAATACTGAAGAAAATAACACCTTAAAAAATAGCCTAACCCAAATGGCAAAAGGCCAAAAAGCCAATGAGGAGAAGAATGCCTTAAAAAGCAAAAATTGGCCAAATGGAAAAGGAAGTCCAAAAGCTCACTGAAGAAAATATTTCCTTAAAAATTAGAATGAAGCAATTGGAAGATAGTGACTTTATGAGAAATCATGACACAGTAGAACAAATCCAAAAGAATGAAAAATTAGAAAACAATGTGAAATATCTCATTAGAAAAACAACTGACCTGGAAAATAGATCCAGGAGAGAGAATTTAAAAATTATTGGACTATCTGAAAGCCATGATCAAAAAAAGAGCCTAGATATCATATTTCAAGAAATTATCAAGGAAAAACTGCCCTGATATATTAGAACCAGAGGGCAAAATAGACATTGAAAGAATCCACAGATCTCCTCCTGAAAGAGATCCCCAAAGGAAAACTCCTAGGAATATTGTAGCCAAATTCCAGAGTTCCCAGGTCAAGGAGAAAATATTACAAGAATTTTTTTATGAAACAATTATTTTAATGTTTGAAAACCAAATTTATTTGGAAAAGTGTGTTGTATCTCATTACATCGGAAAATGTATATGAATTGCACATTTATAACCTGTATCTGATTGCTCATCATCTCAGGGCAGAAGGAGGGGAGAAAGGGAAGAAGGGACAGAATTTGGAACTCAAAACTTTTGAAAATGTTAAAAAAATTGGAGCAACTAGGTAGCACAGTGGATAGAGCACTGGCCCTGGAGTCAGGAGGATCTGAGTTTAAATCCAGCCTCAGACATATAACACTTACTAGCTGTGTGACTCTGGGCAAGTCACTTAACCCCAATTGCCTGGCAAAAATAAAACAAAAAAAAGTTTAAAAATTGTTTTAAAATGTAATTGGGGGAAAATTAAATATGTATACATTTTTTTAAAAATAAGAAATAAAATGTACATGGAAGCATTTTGGAAATGGTAAAATCCTATATGTTAATAGAAAGTAGAACATATATTCTTTAACTTGGGAACTTCATTTAACAGAACTTCTGGCAGAGAGAACCCCAAGAGGTCTGCCTCAGTTGATTAGCTGATTTTGAAAGCCAATCAGGTTAATTGTGAGCAAGGGGCCATGTTTGTACAGTGTTAAGTCAGCTATTCCTTTACCCTTCTCCTAAGGAAGAGGAATAAAGAAATTAGCTCTTCTGAAAAATAACTAGTCCTTAGGTTTATTCCAAGAATCTATGGTTTCATTGGGGGGGGACAGGGGTGGTATTCAATCTCTGCACCTATGGAGATGCTACCCTTCCTTCCACACCTTAGTAAAAGATCTTTATGAGTGATGAGAGGCTGAAAAACTCCTCACCCCTAGGCCAATTTTCTGGCAGTAAGCTTCTCTGAACTTAGGTAGGCCAATCTTAGGACAAAGGGATGGGCCCATCCATATTCCAAACCTTTCTAACTTGCTAGGAATTTGCTGGTGTTTACATTGGCACCTCCGTGCCTAGTGGATGCATCTGAGGAAGGCTTTTGTGGAAGAGAAAACTGGTTGTTTTTCCCAGAAAACACCAGCTCAAAGGTAGTCTCCAATGGAATAGCTAGCTACGAAACAAAAGCTTGACTCGCCTTGTTCCCTCTGTCTGTGAGACTGCCTGGACTCTGAGCTCACTTTCCTTTTGATCCCTTCAGGAGGCCCAATAGTGTTGAAGGAGCTGGGGCCAGGCGGTTTCTGTTTCACAGAGGTCGCTTCTGTTTTCATTTCTGGTAAAGCAGATGTTGAAACATCAATTAGACTTCTGTTTCTCTACATAAAATAGAGGTTCTTAATTTTGTTTCTGTCCTGGACCCTTGTGGAAGTCTAGCGAAGTCCTCAGAATCATGTTGTTAAATGTCAAAAGTAAAATGCAGGGAATTACAAAGAAAATCAATTCTATTGAACTACAGATGTGATTTTTTTTCTCATCCAAGTTCATGGACCCCTTGAATCGCTAACATAAAGGAATGCTGTTGTTGGTTGTTTTTTCTTTTCCCCTCTCGGTCTTGAAGAAGAGTTCAAAGCCCTTTCTCTTTCTCAGAGTTCTCTCACTTAATTTCTAAGGGTTGGGAGACCTAGGATTTCTTTTGCTTACACTGCCTAACCAGAAACTCTTATTTCTCCTTCTCCCCCCTAAAATCCAAAAGGATCCTGGGAGAGGTATCTTTATTGCTAAGATGCTATGATTTTTTTTATAGAAGCAGCCTCGGCGGTGACACCTTGGATAGAGTACTGGACCTGAAGTCAGGAAGACTCATCCTTCTGAGTTCAAATCCGGCCTTAGACACTTACTAGCCATGTGACCCTGGGTAAGTCACTAAACTCTGTTTGCCCCAGTTTCCTTATTTGTGAAATGAGCTGCAGAAGGAAATGTCAAACCACTTTGGTATCTTTGCCAAGAAAACCCCAAATGGGCTCATGAAGCATCAGACATGACTAAAAACGATGAAATAACAACAAAAATATAATGACCAAGTTTGGCCTTGGAGGAGAGTTGAGAAAAAATACCTCTCTTCCTTCTTTGCAGAAGTAGGAGACCATGAGTGCAGAATGTTACTTACACTGTCAGATGGATAAGGACACTGGTCCATTTTGCTGAATTGCTTTTTTCCTTCCTCCTATTTAAAATCTTTGTTACAAGGGATGGCTCAGGGCAGCTAGATGTCACAGTGGACAGAGTACTAGCCCTGGAGTCAGGAGGAGCTGAGTTCAAATTTGGCCTCAGACACTTGACACTAGCTGTGTGACCCTAGGTAAGTCACTTAACCACAATTGCTCGCTCCGCCCCCCCAAAACAAACCCAAAGGATGGCTCACTGGAGAAGGGAGAGGGGAGGGATACATTTGGAAGTGAAGGTGATGTAACAAAGAAAAATATTGTAATCATGGCAAATTTTTAAAGAAATGCTATGATTCTAACAGTTTAGACTGTATGATTCTGAGAGTCTCGTGATCTGTGCTTTCAGAATTAATTTTATATCACTCAACACTTTCTGGTTGATTTGCTGCCAAAGTGAAATATTTCCTGAGCCATTTTGGAAGAAATTGAACCAGGAAACGGAGGACAACACAGAGTTAGCAGGAAAACACATTTCAGGATCAGCAACGATTAGAATTGGGACTATTAGAGTGGATGAGAAAGAAGGTGAAGGAAAAGAACCCCACCCTGCATAAAACAGGAATTTGTGGACTTACAATGGCCCCACTTGGATTCTCCACAGTAAGAATTCTTAACCTGGGCTCCGTCTATGCAGGAGTGGTCCAGTGATAGATTTCAGGAGTCTGTGAACTTGGGTGAGAAATCAATTAAAGCTTTATTTTCTCTAATCTCTCACTGAAATTTGTCATTTCCTTCCATTGTTAATTTCTTTAAGAAACATGATTCTGAGAAGGGGTCCATAAGCTTCAACGTGACTCAGAAATGGTTAAGAACTCCTGGTCTATATGTCTCCCCAGGGCTTTACTTCTGATATTCTATGTTTGGTGGTTCGTCGGCAATGTTAAAGAACTGTGAATGGGCCTACAGTGCAGAATGTCAGAGTCCACAAGGGACTTTGGAACGTGGGGAATAGAATGGCAGAGCCAGGAAGGCCCTCGGAACACAAACTGTCCCCCCCTCCAAACACAAATTGTCAGAGCTGAAAGAGCCTTTAGAACCTAGAATGTCAGCATATAGAAGAAGCTGTAGATACCCTTTAATCGAACCCCTTTGTCCCACATTACATAAACTGATCATTGTCAGACTACCCCAGGTTACACACAAATTAGTAAAATGAGGCTCAAAGAGGGGAAGAAGCTTGCCTAAAGTCACCTAATTAGTTAAATGTACACACCCGTATTTGTCTACGCATTCCTCTGCTTAGCTTAGTACTTGTCTCATAGTACTTATCTCTTGATATATATGTGTTGACTGATTGAAGGACTAACACAAGTGGTTTGAGAAAAATGTTTTGTGCCTTAATCTTTAAAGGCTTCCAGTTTTTGTGACTCCCTTAGGAAGCCAAAAATACTTCCACAGTTAATTTAAAAGGCTTCTTTGAAATCTAAACTAATGCTACAGGCACAATCCACATGGATGTCATTGGAGCATCTCACTGTTTGTCTTTGCTCTGACAATTTTATTTGAAAAAAACCTTCCACTAAAATTTTTTTTCGACTGGACTATTGGCCCAGTTGTTACATAATTCAAAATTTTTTTTGGCTGGCCCCACTGAGGAAAAAGTGCCTCAGTCACAGCAAGTGTAAGTGACTTACAGACAGTATGGGTGAGAAGAAAGACTTCTGACTTGTCCTCTAGCCACTAACGTCTTGTAATTTAAACATTCAGATCAAATGAGGGAACGAATGTAAAGAACTTTACAAACATTATAGAAATACAAACATTTTTTGTTTTTGTTTTTTTTGTTGTTTTTGCTGGGGTTTTTTTGAGGGAGAGTTTCTGGATTTATGGTGTCATCAGTGTAGGGAACCCCCCCGGGGGGAGATTTACTTCTCCCGATATAGATCAGATGATTGCCCCAGGCTACTTGCCCTGGGTCCCACAACCAGTAGGCAGGACTTGAGCCTTTCTTCCATGCTGCCTCTCTAGTTAACTATTATTACATTTAAGATGCTCTCTGTGAGAAGGAAGTAGAGTCTTGTACTGAAAAACATCCTAGCGTTGGAATCGGAAAACAATGTTTTGAGTCCTGGATTGTGCCAGGACAAGGTGTGACTTTGGTAAATCACCTCCCCTCTCTAGGTTTCTCATATTCTTGATCTTTAAAACGGCAATGATAATGCCCAGCCAATCTCTTTTACCGAGATAGTCTGAACATTAATGGAAATCAAGTAAGTAAGAGGCTTAGTAAGCTTTAAAGTACTTTGGCAATGTGAGTTATTAATAGCAGCAAAGGAAACAGTACTACGTCCATCATCAGCAAAAGGGAAGTAGCCCTAATGTACATCATGGGAAGCAAAGGTCCCTTCACTGTCATAGCCAACTAGGACTTCATTCCATTAGCTTCCCAGCAGAGGTCTTTTTGATTCTCAAAGTCTAAAAGGCCCGGTCCTGGCAGGGAACAGAAACTCCTCAGCCACAGCTGCTAGTCATCAGTGGGTTTGTGAGCTCCATAATTAGGCTAGCGGTTCTTCCCAGCATGTCAACCCACATGGTCCAAAAGGAGATAAAGTGGGAGACAGCCAGGACTCCTCTGCTCTACTGGACAGTAGATTTAAAGGTGCCCCAAGGCTAAGAAATGTGCAAGGAGGAAGCCACACTCAGATAGGAGACTGCAAACTTAGAGTCAGGAAGTCCCTCAGAAAATAGGATGTCAGAATAGGGAGGGTGCTTAAAACACAGAATGTCAGAGCTGGGAGGGCTCTGAGGACATAGAACATCAGGCTTGGGTGGAGTGGGCCTTAGATAGAATAGAGAATATCAGAGCTGAGAGAGCCCTTAGAACCCAGAATGTCAGGGCTGGGAGGACCCTAGAATGTCAGAGTTAGGAGGCCCTTAAAACACAGAATGGCAGAGCAGGGTGATGGAGGCTCTTAGATAAAACAGAGAATGTCAGTGTGGGAGGACCTTTAGAACCCAGAATGTTAGGCCTGGGAAGACCCTAGAATGTCTGAGCTGGGAGGACCCTTAGAACACATAATTTCAGGGTAGGGATAGCCGTAAGAACTCTGACAAGAACTATAGAATTTTTTTCTCTCTTGGCCTTCCTCCAGTCAATCCCTCTTCTCTGGATATTGAGGGAAGCAGCCCTGGATAATTGCAATAACCCTACCCAACTGATCTCAGAAGAAATTTAGACATGAAGGTACAATTTGAGCTTGGAGGATTAAAGGCCTCTGCTGACCCATAGGAAGTGCTAGTATGGGCAGGAGATATAACACCAAGATGTTGGGCAGAGTAGAGAGAAAGGACTACAGAATCAGCCTGACTCAGCCTGGGATAACTGGATTAAACATGAGGGGGCAGCTAGAGGCACAGTGGATAGAGCACTGGCCCTGGAGTCAGGAGGACCTGACTTCAAATCCAGCTTCAGACACATGATACTTGCTAGCTTTGTGACCCTGGGCAAGTCACTTAACCCCGATTGCCTCACCAAAGAACAAACAAAAACAAACTGGATTAAACATGAGAAGGGGGCGGTGTGTTCCTGACCACTGGCCATGCTGCCATGAGACCAACTGGATGTCCTGTAGGGATATTTAAACTCAACAAGCTCCAAATTAAACTCATTTTCTTTCCCTAAAAATAAATTGTGGGGGCAGCTAGGTGGTGCAGTGGTTACAGCACCAGCCCTGAAGTCAGGAGGACCTGAGTTCAAATCCGTCCTCAGACCAAACACTTGACACTCACTAGCTGTGTGACCCTGGGCAAGTCACTTAACCTCAATTGCCTAAAAAAAAAAATTGTGGCACAGGAACATAATGGAATTTTGCTGTATGAAACGAATATGAGAAATCCAGAGAAGCATGAGATGACTTATACAAATTGACAATACAAACTTAGAAGTAACCAGAGAAAAACAATATTTGCAAAGACAATAACAGGAAATATAACAAAATAATAAAATAAATAATAATAATAAATAATAAAATTAAAATAAAATTAAATAAAAATAAAATAATACAATAAAATAATAAAAAAATAATAAAAGGAAAATAAAGACAGCTGAACACCTTGGAATGGGCAGGCTCGGGCCCCAGAGAAAGTAAACCAGCTTGAATCGGTGATATGTCAAGGCGACAAGAAACCACTGAGGGTGCCACCATCTTCCCAGTCCCCCAGGTTCACGATCTGGGCTTCATTGTGAAATCCTGACTTTCTCACACACCTCCCCCGCCCAAATCCAGCCTGTTGCCAAATCCTGTTGATTCTGCCTTTGAAAAATCTCTTGTATATCCTCCCCCTCCTCTCACACTGCTGCCACCTGGGTCTGAGCCCTTATCACCTCACTGCACCACCCTGCTGGTGAGTGTGTGTCTGCCTCAAGTATCTCCCCACTCTAGTCCATCTTCTTCCTACCTATCAAAACTATCAAAGTGATCTTTCTAAAGTGCAGGTTTTGTTGGGAAGGACATGGGGAAAATGAGACATTAGTGTACTGTAACTGGTTGGAGCTATGAACTGATTCAACCGTTCTGTGGAGCAGTTTGGAACTGTGCTCAAGTGGCTATAAAACCATGCATAAACCATGCATACTCTTTGACTTAGCAATACCAGTACTAGGTCTGTATCCCAAAAGAAATGGAAAAAAAAAGACAAAAAGGAAAAGGACCTGTGTGTATAACAGTATTTAGCAACTCATTTCTGGGGGCAAAGAACTGGAAATCGAGGGGATGCCCATCAATTGGGGAATGGCTGAAAAAGTCGTGGCATGTGATTATGATGGCACAGTTCTATAAGAAATGATGAGCAGGAGGCTCTCAGAAACACCTGAAAAGACCTGCACGGGCTGATGTAAAGTGAGATGTACTGTGTACAAAGTAACAGCAATATTGTAGGATGATCAGCTGTGAATGACTTAGCTATTCTTAGCAATCCAAGACAGCTCTGAAGGACTTATGATGAAAAATGCTATCCATTCCCAGAGAAAGAACTGATGGTGTCTGAATAAATTGAAGCATGCTTTTTTTCTTTATTTTTCTTGAGGTTTTTTTTGGTCTGTGTTTTCTTTCGCAACAAGACCATCATGGATATGTTTTGCATGACTATGCATGTATAAATTATATTTAACAGCTTGCTTTCTCAATGGCGTGATAGAGAGGAAGCAAGGGAGAGAATTTGGAAGTCAAAGTTTTATAAACGTATGTTAAAAATTGTTTTTATGTGTAACTGGGGTAAAATAAATAAATTTTAAAAAAAAAGAAATCTAGAAAAACAAAAACAAAGTGCAGGTCTGACCATGTCACCCTTACCCCCCCCACTCTACCCTCCTCCTCCCCCTACATTCCAGAGGTTCCCTATTACCTCCAGTATCAAATATAAAATCTTCTGTTGAGCTTTTAAAATCATAATCTGACATGCTCCTATCTTTCTAGCCTTCTTACACTTTACTCACTTCCCATGTCCTCTGTGATCCTATGGCACTGAGCCTCTTTGCTTTTTCTCATACAAGACCCTTCATCTACTAACTCCAGACAGTTTCACTACCTTTTTCTTATTCCTAGAATTCTCTTGTTCCTCATCTCTGGCTTCCCTGACTTCCTTCAAGTCTCAGCTAAAATCTCACCATCTGCAAGAAACCTTTCCAGATCTGCCTGTATCACTAAGGCCTTCCTTCCAGATTACTTCCA